CTGGGAATCAGCCATAGCTGCTTGCTCCGCCCTGTTGATTCTGAGACCCCGCCCCATCCAGGCTGCTGCAAAGCCTTTTGCATATGAATGCCCGGGTCCTTTACAACCTGACAACTACCTAACAAATTGCAGCTGGGCCAGACAGACCCAGAACTTCCAAGAGAAGGCCCAAGGCCCCACAGCAGCTTGCATTGCTTCTCAGCTGGGCCTCATCTGGGCACCCCCAAACCCCCAAAAAAGGAAGGGGAATCTGCATATCTCTTCATAGCTCCTGCTGGGTAACCTCAGGAAGAGGCTTAATTAGCACCTCCTTAGATCCAAGAGCCAGTGTACCCAGTGGTCAGAGTGGGACCACCCAGATTACAACTCCTCAGATTCATAAGGAACACACTCAGGGGGCAGACTCAGTGAGCACCAAAGCCCCACTGAAGCAAGTCTTGCCCCAGAAGGGTGTCTTCAGCACAGAAGTTCTCCCACTGCAGACACAGCTGATTCTCACTGCCAATTGGCCTGGAGGTCAATTCCTCCCAGTGACACCTAAAACAATCAAGGCATAACTACAACAAGACTGTGCACAAAGCCCACAAGGGGGTGCACCAAGAGTGTCCACCTCAGGTAACTGGGGAGGCTGAGCCACTGGGCCCTGTAGGACACCTAGCACACAAAACCACTCTACCAACACAGGGAAGCAGACAAAATGCGAAGACAAAGAAACAGGTCACAAATGACAGAAATGGAGGACAGCAAACGACTGGATATAGAGTTCAAAACCACGGTTCTAAGATTTTTCAAGAATTTTATGGAAACCGCCGATAAATGTATTGAGATCCTTAAGAAATCTAGTGAGACCCTCGATGTTGTGATAAAGGACCAACTAGAAATTAAGCATACACTGACTGAAATAAAGAATATTATACAGACTCCCAACAGCAGACCAGAGGATCGCAAGAATCAAGTCAAAGATTTGAAATACGAAGAAGCAAAAAACACCCAACCGGAAAAGCAAAATGAAAAAAGAATCCAAAAATACGAAGATAGTGTAAGGAGCCTCTGGGACAACTTCAAGCGTACCAACATCAGAATTATAGGGGTACCAGAAGAAGAGAGAGGGCAAGATATTGAAAACCTATTTGAAGAAATAATGACAGAAAACTTCCCCTACCTGGTGAAAGAAATAGACTTCCAAGTCCAGGAAGCGCAGAGAACCCCAAACAAAAGGAATCCAAAGAGGACCACACCAAGACACATCATAATTAAAATGCCAAGAGCAAAAGACAAAGAGAGAATCTTAAAAGCAGCAAGAGAAAGACAGTCAGTTACCTACAAGGGAGTACCCATACGACTGTCAGCTGATTTCTCAACAGAAACTTTGCAGGCCAGAAGGGAGTGGCAAGAAATATTCAAAGTGATGAATAGCAAGAACCTACAACCAAGATTACTTTATCCAGCAAAGCTATCATTCAGAATTGAAGGTCAGATAAAGAGCTTCACAGATAAGGAAAAGCTAAAGGAGTTCATCACCACCAAACCAGTATTATATGAAATGCTGAAAGGTATCCTTTAAGAAGAGGAAGAAGAAGAAAAAGGTAAAGATACAAATTATGAACAACAAATACACATCTATCAACAAGTGAATCTAAAAATCAAGTGAATAAATAATCTGATGAACAGAAAAAAAAATTACTGGGACAGCTGGAAATTTTTGAATATTGACTATAAAATAGGTAATAATATATAAATGTCAAATTCCCTCAATTTTATAATTATAATGTGGTTATGTAAAAGTTTTTTCTTTGGCCCTAGCCAGTTTTGCTCAGTGGATAGAGCATCAGCCTGTGGACTGAAGGGTCCTAGGTTTAATTCTGATCAGAGGCACATGACAGGGTTGCAGGCTCAATCCCCAGTGGGAGGCATGCAGGAGGCAGCCGATCGATGACTCTTTTCATCATTGATGTTTCTATCTCTTTCTCCCTTTCCCTTCCTCTCTGAAATCAATAAAAAAAGTATTTAAAAAAAAGTTTCTTCTTTGGAAGGACATGCTGTAGAAGGTGAATGGTTATGATATATGCACATTATTCTAATGTTTAGCATACAATGTTTGTGTGACATAAATATACATAGAAAAAAATATGGCAAAGCATTAACCTATGAATCTACATAAAGGACATAGGAGGGTTCATTGTTCTATACTTGCAAGTTGTCTGCAGATTTGAAATTTTTCACAATAAAAAGTTAAAAATGAAGGAGAAAAATGAGACATTCTGCATACACACATCCCTTATAAAAATTCACCACAAGGATTTTCTGAGTTTACTACCTGGGTTCTTTCAGCAAGAGGATGGTCACAAGAATGTAATGAGTCTTTGGGCCGAGCTTCTATGGCGTTAGAAGGTCCATCTCCAGCTTCCCCTTTCTGTATGCTTTCATCCGGTAAAAGACGTACATTTTCTTTATCACTGTCATCCTTTGACCTTAGTGCTTGTGTTGAAACTTTTGGCATCACTGCTGTTGATCGTGAGCGAACAGCCCTCCCTCTCTGAACAGTCTCCCATCCTTCAGCATCTTTCCGTTCTGTGCAATTAAAGGAAGAAAATAATAAATATTTCTGTAGATAATAAAAAATTTTAAAAACCTATAAAATAAAAATAATTCCAATCTAATTCCCATTAAATATAAGTCATATACAAATATGACACTGTTATACAAGGTGTATTGCATGTGTGTGTGTGTGTGTGTGTGTGTGTGTGTACACACATACATATACACGTACACACACGCAGAGTCTCTAATTCCTCTAACTACACTGTGTGGTAGGGATTAATCCTACCCCACAAACACTTTCTTTATTATCCCTAATTTACAAATAACAAAACTGAGACTTAGATCAGGAATGACTGGAGGCCAGCCGCAGGGTCCGGAAGTGTGAGTGACCGTCTATCAGAGCACAGGGTGCACTATGTGCTCGCCCTCTTCTCAGGGCTGTACATATAACAACACTTTTAATCTTCACAACCACCTATGAGTGCTATCACCCCGTCCTATCAGTAAGGAAGCTGAGACTGAGAGAGGCTCAGTCATCTGCCCAAGGTCACACACTTAGTAAGTTTTCCAGGACTTAGCAAGTCCAGGCAAATGGGTCTGGTGTTCTTGTCCCAATGGCTAAGTGAAAGCTGCCTCCCCAACTCCCAGAATCCAAAGAGTGTGATTTAAGTTTTCTTCTTTTCTAACACATGTAATTGAGGCTAGAAATTTTCCTCAAAGCATAGCTTTACCTAATCCCACAAGATTTTAAATGTTCATTTTAATTCAATTTACATTTTCTAAATTTCATTTTGATTTCTTCTGACTCATGGAATATTCAGAAATAGACTCTACAATTCCAAAAATGTGAGAATTGTATGGTTATCTTTCCGTAACCGGTTTCTAACTTAATTCCACTGTGTTCAAAAGGAGCAGAGTAAGTTCAACCATCTGAAATTTTTTGGAACTTGTACAGCCATGACAAAGTAGCCTATATCAAAATTAACCTTCTTTCCTCCAAACACGCCTATGAAAACTAGACAAAATATCTAAATGAACTGTTTAATGCCCTGGAAATCAAGCAATACAGGCGAGACTTCAGGAACTATATTCCCTGAGAAAAGGGAAGGACAACAACATGAGATCCACATCCACCCCAAAATTTTCCCTGAAGACCTTTGGAATTCACAGTGCAGGGGAAGTGAGCCCCACAGAAACCAGCAGTCTTGTCTGGCTGAGACAGACACTGGAGTTCAATGAGCCTAAAGCAACGGGGACTGCAGAGGGGCTCACTGCAGGAAAGTGAGCCAAAAAGTCTGCATTCCGTCTTCCCTTAAGAAGTCTGACAGCTGCTGAGCTTTGCATAGACAGGCCAAGACTCCCAGGCACCCAGAGAAAGCAGCAGCTGGGATGCTAATGAGCTGAGAGGTCCTGTAGTAACTGCAGTGCTGAGGAAACAAATGCTGGAAAGCAGGAATGGAGTGGCCTTGGCAAACACCCCAGGTTTTCAGTTGATACTCGAGAAAGAATAAAGACAAAACTAAAACATACCAACTGTAATAAAACCTCAAACCAAGCTCTGATGGAATTAAGGTGATCTGTTGGTACTTTTATCTTCTTGCCAAAAGAAAAGTATTTTTAGAAGGAACCTCTATAATTTTTAATATATGTTATTAAACATATTAAACATTTAATTAAATAGTATGTGGTTTGTTGTAAAACACAATCAAGTAACTGAAAACGCCACAAAAATGTTTTTAAAGTAACAAATACACAGGTAGTTTAGATATTTTACTTTTTGGACACAGACTTTAAAAAAATAACCATTATTAATATATTTAAGAAAATATGGATTCATCATATAGAACAGAGAAAGACATATCAATAAAATGTTTCTAGAGTGAAGCATCAAAAAAAGAATGGCAAAGAATAAGCATTATTTGTTAGGCCTTTCAATTATGACAAGTTCATTAATGTATATCTTTACTGATTTTTCTCTACTTTGTATTATCATTGTTGGGACTGTTATGTTAAAATCTTCCAAGTATGAGTATATATTTTGAAATTTCCACCCTCATTTGTCAGTTTTTACTTTATTTCTACCCCTCTCCCCCTGTGGGTGGTATGCAGGAGGCAGCCAATCAATGTTTCTCCCATGGATGTTTCTATCTCTCTCTTCCTCTCCCTTCCTCTCTCTGAAATCAATAAAAATCTTTTTTTATTTTTTAAAGAAAATAGCCCTAGCTGGTTTGGCTCAGTGGATAGAGTGTCAGCCCACGGGCTGAAGGGTCCCTGGTTTGGTTCTATTCAAGGGCACATATCTTGGTTGCAGACTCGATCCCTGGCCCTGGTCGGGTACATGTGGGAGGCAACCAATCAATGTGTCTCTTTCATATCGATGTTTCTTTCTCTTTATCTCTCTCTCCCTCCCTCCCTCCCTCCCGCCCTCCATCCCTTCTACTTTCTCTAAAAGCAATGGAAAAATATCCTCGGGTGAGGATTAACAACAACCAAAAAAAACAAAAAAAAGAAAACAGATGTGTGAGTAAAGATAAACATAGAATATTACTTTAATATCAAAATAATATTCAAATATTAATAAAATGAAATAGTGGCATGCAACTTAAAAGCGTATACTGCGTAGAGAATGGAATGACTATTTTTTTTCTTTAAGTCAAAAGAGTTATAAAGGACCTACATTATAAATGAATTGACAAAGGAATTGACAAACCTGAGACTAGAATGATTTCCATATGCTTTCATACATTTTTAAAGAATATTTCATAGCTGTAAGTAGGGCAGATTAATATGATATAAATGATGCAAAAGATAACTATATAATGCTATTAGCTCCAATTTCAAATAAAACAAATATTCCCATTGATGTCCACTTGTCTACTACATAGAAATGAATGAAAGCCACTTGCCATTTTTGCAGGAAGTCTTCTGCACTGTCACTGGTGGGCAAGACGGCGCAGGAGCTACATCTGAAGAAGCAGTAGTCCCTGAATGATGAGCCTTTACCTTGTCAGCCCAACTAACACCTGCAGAAGCCACACGGGGAGCAGCCACTGTGCCAGGTGAAGCCCTATGGAGAAAACTGCTGCATTAATAAATCACATAAATATAAAAGTTAAATATTAAATATATACTCAATAGGTTTAAATGTTAAATAAAATATATTTGGTCCTAGCCGGTTTGGCTCAGTGAATAGAGCGTTGGCCTGAGGACCAAAGGGTCTTGGGTTCAACTCCAGTCAAGGGCACATGCCCAGGTTGCAGGCTTGATCCCCAGTAGGGGGCATGCAGGAGGCAGCCAATCGATGATTCTCTCTCATCATTGATGTTTCTATCTCTCTCTCTCCCTCTCCCTTCCTCTCTCTAAATCAATAAAAAACAATTAAATGAATGAATGAATCTCCAATGAGATAACACCTGATTTCTTATCAGAAACCATGGAAACCAGAAGGCAGTGAGAGGACATATTCAAAGTGCTGGGGGAGGGAGAAGGAGGGGGGAGACTTTAAACCAAGAATTACATGCACCGCAAAACTATCCTTCAAAAGCTAAAGGATAAAGTAAGTTATTCTCAGATAAAACTTGAGAAAAACTGTCACTAGCAGACATGTTCAACAAGTCATGCTATAGGGAGTCCCCTACAGGCTGAAATGAGAGGACACTACACAGTAACTTGAATCCACAGGATGAAATAAAGAACACCAGTGAAAGTGCTACACAGGTAAATACAAAAGACCATGTGGATGTATTTTTTCTTCTGTAACTCTCTTCTTGTCCTGATTTAAGACAACTGCATAAAACAATGATTATAAAACTGTGTTGGTGAGATTATCATGTACAAAGATATAATTTATATGACAATAACAACGATAATATATAGATCTATCTTTTTGAAAGAACTGTCAGTTCTTGTTATGAGTCATTTAGCATGGAGTATGTTTATGGGTTTAGATTTTGTGCACCTAATTATTTCTGAATATATTATATTTCCTAAAGTTAAACTGTACATCCTGGGTTTTTAAAAAACATTTTCTTCAAACAATTTCGAACAGATACACAACCACATACATGGGTATTTTTGTAACAGAATATCTGGTTTTATAACACTTTAAGTGTGTTAACCACAGAAAATAATTTACAGCAATGAAAGCCTTAGTAGTTTTTTTTAGTTCATCTCACCCAAAATTTAAGCTTCTTCGAGCATTTGATGTTACACTTATTCTATCTGTCGATGGGCTTGGAAGCACATGCCGTCCTGGAGACATCTTCTTTACTTCCCACGCCAGTGACGTTGGTCTGCCGATTCAAGACAGATTACATTAGCAGAGAAAAGAGAGGAAACCTAATGCTTTCTAGAAGTTACTAGTAGGTGGAAACGTACTTAGGTCACAATTTTTTCCTGGGGCACTGTTGACCATAAAGTAACTATATTACCAGTAAGCAATCACAGATGATGCAGTCAGGGTTTTCCACCCACTTCAGCATAGCAAACAACCCTACTTAAATAAAAAAGGCCATGAGGTACAAAGACATGAGATATATAGTACATTTATGTTTTGAAAGCCTCCACACACCCAGCTAAACACATTTTAAAATGTGGTACAATGGCTCTGGTTGGGTGGCTCGGTTAGTCGGAGTGTCATCCCACACACAGAAAGGTTATGGGTTAGATCTCTGGTCAGGGCGCATGTGGAGGCAACCAATCAATGTTTTCCTCTCAGATCGTTGTTTCTCTCCCTCTCCCTGTCTCTCTAACAAAAACATACTAGTATCTTCTGATGAGGATTTAAAAAAAAGAAATATTGCTTCTTTATAAAAAAGTGGTGCAATGGTACTGATTCAGGCTCGTGTGTCTACTGTCCTGAGAACTACTAGTAAGTGTGTAGTCCTGGGATCCAGACGGAAATGCAGTGAGGAGGTTAAAGGAATACCCAGGGAAACATGAAGGCTCCTTTCTCTACCTGAGATCACCCATGTGAGTGGAAGCATAAACACTTTTTTGCTCTTTGCTGAGGAAGCTAACTCCTCCTTCCTCACAGGCCCACAACCAATCAGCTGCACAATCTCCACTAAAAGGTTTTCCTCCAGCAAAGTGTTCTACACCCATGCCTGCAGTCACCTCCTAGCTCCCCAGAACCTCTGTGCCTCTCACTCTCCATTCAACTAGTGATTTTGATTTTTTAAAAAATATATTTTACTAGTAGCCTGGTGCACGAAATTCGTGCACTGGGGTGGGGGGGGGAGGAAAGGGGCCCCTCAGTCTGGCCTTCACCCTCTTCAATCTGAGACCCCTCAGGGAATGTCCAAGTACCTGTTTGTGCCCACACTTTTAACAGATAACAGCTCCATTGTTGTTTCTTTCTTATGCTTAAAACCAT